GGAGAATTGCTCCCTTCGTTGAGCCTTCTCCCTTTGCGTAAGTGTCCTTGCATCTTTCTTTTATACAGACAGTGCTGTCTTGTTGATATGATTTAACATGGTGGTTCTGTGTACTTATGTGTGTATGTTTGGTGATGTCTTGTTCATCTTAGATGAACTATTGCTTAGTTTGTTTGGTTGAGTTCTTGATATTGGCCTATGCTTTTGTTGAGTTCTTGATGATATTATTACAGGAAACAATGGTACGATCGACGGTCAAGGATCGTTTTGGTACATTCCTTCTCTAGCCAGCTCGCCAAGCTCCTTCTCTAGCCAGGGTTTGAAGGATGTTGTTGAGCTTCTTCTTGATAGGGAAGCTGAAGTTGATCCTAAAGATCGTTGGGGAAGCACTGTAAGAAAGAAACAAAAAAAAATCTTTTTTTAGATCTTTGGTTTTGTTGTATAGTGGAAGAAATCTAATATTTTTTTTGTTAAAAACAGCCACTTGCAGATGCGTATTTTATAAGAATGTTGATGTAATTAAGATTCTTGAGATGCATGGAGCTAAACATCCGGTAAGAATCTAGCTGGAACTTTATGTTGGTGTTTTGATTGTATCTATTTGCTGTAATAAGCCATTGTTATTGATACATTTGTATGTTTCAGATGGCTCCAACTATGTGTTCAGTTCGTTTTACTGAACCTTATTGTATTCAGGGAACTTACTGTATGGCAATGTGGCGTGGCATTCAGCTTGCGGTGAAAAAGCTTGAGGATAAAGTTTTAAGCGATGATGATCAAGTGTAAGTGGAATAGTATCTTGTAGATTGTATCATGGTAATAAGGTCTTAGAGTCTAATCGTTTTGGTTTATGTGCGTCCAGGAGGAAGTTCCATGACGAGCTTGCTTTGCTCCAAAGGCTTAGGCATCCAAACATTGTTCAGTTTCTTGGTGCTGTAACTCAAAGCAATCCAATGATGATTGTTACTGAATACTTGGCTAGGGTATGACTTACTCTGCTACATTCTTTTTTTTTTCTTTTTTTTTTCTCGAAACCAAGATCTCATTTGATGGTACATTCTTCAGGGGGATTTGCGTGAATTTCTCAAAAGGAAAGGACAACTAAAACCAGCTACTGCTGTTAGATACGCCCTTGACATCGCAAGGTATGTATCTTCCTCATGTTTGTAATGTTCTTAGAGGTTATAAGAGTCTCTTACCTTTTGGATTCTTATAGGGGAATGAGCTACCTTCATGAGATCAAAGGAGACCCTATTATCCACCGATGGTACATTTTTGTTATATCAGTTTTTGGGTTTTAAATTAGAAAGTATACATCATTTCTGTGGGAGTCTTCTTTAAATGGTTTGACACATTCTTATTATCTGCTAGAGACATGAAAGAAAAGCGTATAATACTGTCTTGTGGATTGGATACCGACTCTGTAATTCTTTTGTGTTTACACTACAGAGAAGGAGCTTTGGCCAAGGGAAGATAAGAATGAACAAAAGAACCAGCTTGGCTCAGAAGGAAGATGTGATCAGGAGAACTGTCTATGTCTCCGAGATTGATCAACAGGTAAGCTTTCGATACCATTTATCTCCTAAAACTGCGTCTCTTAACTTGTCTCCTTTGCAGGTTACCGAGGAGAACCTCGCAGGTGTATTTGCTAATTGTGGACAGGTACTTAAAAATGATCTTCGCTATGTTTTTGATTATATGCAACAACTCATGTGATGATAACTTTCTCATAGGTTGTTGATTGTCGTGTATGCGGTGACCCAAATTCTCTCCTTTGTTTCGCTTTCGTTGAGTTCACCAGTGAAGGTAGTTCCTTTTATAGGCTACTTAAGATATCTATTACAGTACTGTTTCTCATTAACTAATCAAAGATATGTGTTTGCTGCAGAGGGAGCTAGGGCTGCTTTGAGCATGTCAGGCACAGTGCTTGGTTTTTACCCTCTTAAGGTTCTTCCTTCCAAACCGCTATTGCCCCTGTTAACCCCACTTTCCTTCCCCGGGTAGGTTCATAGAATCATAGTTAAGCTTGGCTTCTATCTAAATCAGTTTAACCATAATGATGATTCTTTCTTGCAGTCTGAGATTGAGCGTGAGATGTGCATGAGGACTGTTTGCTGTACTAACATTGACAAGCGGGTAACTTTACTTCCATTAATACCATTTATTTTGTGAGAGAATGTTTTAAGTATTTGGAGAAACTAAGTTTTCTTTGTTTCTTGAATCTGCAGATTAGTCAAACTGACTTGAAAGGCTTCTTTGAAATGTTTTGTGGAGAGGTAAGCATTTGGTTTCGAAAGCTAATATATATTGTATATTGGTTGTGTTTTCTACTCTAACAGTCAATGTATATATATATATATATATATATATATATATATATATATATATATATATGTATATGTTTTTGTCTATATCTTTTGTAAGTTCATCGTCTGATGCTTGGAGACTATCACCATCATAGCCGCATTGCTTTTGTTGAGTTTGCCCATGTAATTCTCTCAGCTTAAGTTTTACGTTGTTACCGTTTTGGAAAATTAGCTTCTGTGATTGAGTAGTTTCAGTTGCTAGTTAAGATTCTACTATTTGCATTGCATTTGACTTCAATGTAGTTTAAAGAAATCGGGAACTAACGTTCTGTATCTTGGTATGGTTAACTGCATTTCATAAAGCTGCTAATGTTTGAAGACTGTCTCTGAGCTTCTTTGAGCCTCAAAAGAATTGGATGCATAACGTTGAATATGAAGTTCCCTATAAGGTAAAAACATTTTACTCCTATATTTAGCTTTTTTCATAGAAACTAATAGAAAGTGTTATGTCACATTCTAGACTTGGCTCTTTCTTTACTCAATTCTGATTATAATCCATTTGCATTAAATTGTGATATCTTTCTCGGTGTTTATTGTTAATTTAATTTGAGAATCTTGTATTCATCTTTTTGTTTAGTATGTATGTGTTTTTTTTAAAGGGTAAGTCCATCAAAGACACCAGTAAGGCCTCACTATCCCCTCGCTGAGAGCAAATGAAATGTTGACAAAAGCTCTTGCTGTGGAGATCCCAAAAAGATACAGGAGAGAAAGAAGACTAAAGAAGAGAGAAGAGGAAGGTACTTGAGGCGTTTATGTGTTTATAATACCAAAAATCTTTTTTGTCTTTTTATTTTATTTTAAGTTTGCGTCGCAGTCAGCAGAGCCTGCCCGGTATCTTTGAACCAACCTTTTTATGAACTTTGGTCTTTAACTTTCTCTTCTTTTCTTTAGAGTCTCCAAAAACAAAGATGCAGACTTCTTTTGTTTATTGTTGAAATACTCTTTTGGATATTTAATTTGAAGACATTTGGAGCAATTCAATGTTCTTTTGGTTATTGATTTTAGTTAGCTATTGTTTGATTTTTTTATTGTTCACTGTATTGTGCTGCTAGCCAATTCAGATTACACTTGGGACTTTTTACAAAGAAGTCTACTTGACAGAGAAAAATATAGCACAAGTCTATCACATTAACAACATCCAAAGCAACAATATAATTTATAAGTTCAACACAGACTAAAGACTTACAAATCTAATAGAAGACAACTCAAAGCAATGAGACACACTTATACATAATAGAACATCCATAGCAACAAGACAACTCATAAGTTCGACACATAACACTAACACATCTAGAGTTTTTCACCACTCATTCTCTGTATACAACGAGTAATTGAGCCATCTCCTGCCAAAAAAAATACGGTTTACATAATTAGCAAACAAAAATTTCATGTTGGATAAAATTATAAAATAGACTTACAAGTACATTTACAATTATTAGCAAACAATATAGTTAAACCAAAAATTATATCATAGACTTACAAGTACGTCTACAAATTTTAAGCTAACAACATAGACAAACAAAAAATTTGATAACTTCCTAATTATAACAGATAATCTTCTGAAAATCATTCAAGACCCTTCTGATTAACTAACACACACTTTCATAAAAAAATTTTTTGAAAAAACTTAATGAATAATACACAAATCCACTTTTGATAGATTTTTCTAGGTATACTACATATTCAGTCTACAGACGTGTAGACGTTTTATTCAGTTTATAGTCTGTAGACTGAAAATTAGGCCTACGTTGAGGTTGGTTTCTGCAATTGCCAAATTCACGGGTTACTTTCTGTATTTGAAAAAAAGATGTGCTTTTATACGAGTAGACTTACTTTTTAGTCTACATTTTTAAAAAGGTTAGTTTTGCAATTGACCATAATTCGTTCAGAGTTTGACTTTTAGAAGTAAACCTATTATGCAGTCTACATTTTTAAATTTGTTTGAAAGAGGTAAGTTTTGCAATTGACCAAAGTTGACTTTCTACGAGTAGACAAAACTAAATGTCTACGTAACTGTAGACTGCAGTACAAGTCTACATTATAACCCGACAGGTTAGTTTTGCAATTGACCAACATAAAATAGTAGACTTCTTATGCAGTCTACTTTTTTTTTCTAAGTTTTGTAGACTGCATATGAAGTCTACACGTAAAGTAAGTTTTAGTCAGCTTCTAAATATTTTAGTCAAATACAAAAGAAACCTATTCAACGAAGTCAAAGTTTTGGTCAAATGCAAAACTTACATTCTGTAGACTTACCTAGCAGTCTACAAAGTGTAGACCTCCACGAAAGTCTACTATGGTAAGTCAAAATTTTGGTCAAATGCAAATCTAACATGTTTTATGTAGATTTCTTAGTAAGTCTACCAATTTTTTTGTTTTTGGTTTCAAAGGTAAAGACGTTGACGTACTTGTAGGTCTACATTACAAAAAAAAATTATTTTGGTCAATTGCAAAAGTAACATGTGCGTTGACAAGTAGACTGCATCGTAAGTCTACACTTATGTGTAGACATGTAATACAGTCTACTTTCGCGATACAGAACAGAGATATGACGAAAAGCATGTAAATAGTTACCTTGACACCGGTTTAAAGCTTGTTTCCAAGATTTTCCACCGTCCAGAATCCAAATATGAGCAAAAGAAGCAACCTTTACGATTCACTTGTGGATAAAATCGAAACTATGAAGTTTGTGTTTATGAAAATGAGAGTTATGAGGATTGTTTAGATGAAAATAGAGAGGAAATGAGAGGAAATGAAGTATTGTTTGTTTAGAAAGTGAAATAAGTGGTTGAAAATTCATAAACACAAGCTTAAAGAGCTCATCAATGGTGGTTTTTGGTGGTTGCAGATATTGATGACAATGGCATTGTGGTAAATAAGGAGAAAGGTTAAGGGTGTAATAGGTTTTTAATAATTTTCGAAAATAAAATCAGATTTAATAATAATGGCAATTTGGTAAATAGGTAGAAACATGAGGAGAGTTTAGGTTTTTTAGAGTGAATAGTAATGACAAAAAAAAAAAAGAGGTTGGTTTTGTGTTTGACTTGAATTTTTGGGTTGTTTTTGCAAAACCCCCAAAAATTTAATTCTAAAAAAATATATTTTTTTATCCCATTAATATGAGTTTCTTTTAAATATCTACAAATTGTAGAAATATTATTTAGTTTTAAAATTTTATATTATATACGTAACAAAATAATAATGTTCTTAGAATTTTTTATATATTTTAATCAAAAGCAATAGATAAATATATTTCTGAGAAGATTTATAAATATATACATATATATTATTTAACGTAAATTTAAATAAAATTAGATTTTATCTTATTTAATAATTAAATCAAAATCAAATTATAGTACGGAAATAATAAAATCTAAAAATGAACAAACATTTATGATAAATATGATTTAAATTTTTAAAACATTTATTCATGCACATGGTGCAAGAAAACACCTAGTGATAGATATTTCTACAATAACCCAAAATCATTGTAATTAAAATAAATTAATTGCAAAATAAATCAAAAAAAAATTTATATTTGAAAATAAAGTTAGTTTTTTTTATAAATTATAATTGGTTTACAAATTATTCTGATTATAAACTAAACCATAAATAAAAAAAAATCAAACTACTACAACTTCCTTAATTTGGTTTACTGATATCACTCAAATGTTTAACCCTAAGGAGTGAATTACTCTCTCAAATAAGAGGTTCAGTCGTAGTACTTAGGGATCGAATCCACAGGGAACTAGAGTCACAAAAGAAATAATCCTAAGTGATTAAGCTAGGTTGAAATAGGTTTAAAACAATTAAAATAAAAATGGGTAGCTATGGTAAGTTGCTGAGGAGATTGGTTTTAAAACAATAAGAGAAAATAGCTAGATTCAAGGTTACTATTCAGAAAATCAGGATTATAAATCTATGGATGTCTTAACGAATTGCTTGCAAATATATGAGGAATTCAATCCTTAAACAAATCTATAGCTGTCGCTAGTTAGACTCGTCCATTGATCTGATTGCTGACAATATCGATCGATGTTGCTATCGCGGTATCGATCGATATGCGTTGCCGTCGATCGATTACTTTATGGGAGTATTGATCGATATAGCATCAGATCGAATTGAAACTGTGTCCACCCGAGAACCTCTATTAGACCGCCTATCGCACGTGCCTAATAGAGTCTGAGCTTAGCCAAATGATTTCAGGATAATGACTATTAGATTAGTCACTCCATAATCATACTTCTAGGTAGCTAATCTAGAAGAAGCATTAGGGTTCATTTGGTTAATGAATATAACAATTCAACATATCATAGTTGGGGTTAATCCCTCATAACTATTTGAACCCTCAATCTAACAAATGAATCTACTCAGACATAGCCAAGTGATTCATAGCAAAAGAATAAGATGAAAAGAAAATGCTTTTATTGCTAAGTATAGAATAGAATACAAAACTCTTATTTTCTGATTGTCTTTTCTAGGGCTCATAGGCATAACTATAAATACAAGTGCAATTAGGTTAAAAAAACTCGTCAGGAGTAATCTTGTAATTTGGTGAGAACTTGGGCTTCAAGTTGGCCAAATAAATCTTGCTCGTCACGCTCTGTATCGATCGATGGTACATGGTGTACATCGATCGATGGAGTATCTCGACTTCAACTTCTACGGAAGCTTCATCGATCGATTACACAGGGTGTGTATCGATCGATATGTATCTCTTATGTCGGATCTTCATAGTCATCTTGGAAAACTCTTCTTTAAGCACCAAAAGGCACCTAAATCATCACTTTACCACAAAATGCTCCTGAACCTGGAAACATACCTAATAGACTCCAAAACATAGATATTTATTATAAAAACATAGTAATACCATGACCAAAAGCGGGTCAAAATCATGGTATATCATTTACACTAAACCAAATCTAAAAACCTAAACCTAAAAAAAAAAAACTCCAGCTTCCTCCTCCTTAGCCTTGCCCCTCTTCAACAGCCAAGAGAACTGCCTCCTCTAGCCTCCAGAAGACTTGCTTTTTCAAGCCTCCATGGGCCTTGCCTTCTCCAACTACCATGAAACTTGCCTCTTCCACCTATCTTTACCAAAACAAAAACAAAAAAATCTGATTCATAGTAGAACAACAATAGAGAAGAAGATACACATGCACGAAAAGAGAGAGAGAGAGAGAGAGACAGGTCGACCGTGATGGTGGTGGGAGGGCGACCGTCTTGGTGATGAGGCAAGAAGGAGACGCGGTGGGAGACAGATGAGAGAGATTAAAGAGGCGTGGAGAGAGATGGGAGAAATGATAATAACAGTAAGCGTGTGAGAGCTATGAGAGTGAAGAAGATGAAGAGAGAATCGAAAAAAAAAAGAGAATCAGATCTCTCGTAAAGAGAAAAAGAAAAAAAAATTAAAAGAATATTTGGGCTTATTGGACCACACAGCAAAACAATGAAGAATACCGGTGAAACAATAAAGTTTTCAATCCGTAATATTCAATGACATGGCAAAATGAAATGTTTTCATTAGCTGAATATTTTTGTTGATGCGGATACGCTGAATGGGACTTATATCCCATTTTTAATACTTGTTTGATAATCCTTCTGACCAGTACTTAACCCTCTTAACCAAATATAATTATCGTGTTGGATCTTTTTGACCAAATATAAATATTCTATTTTCTGAGATTTAAACCGAATAACTATCATCTCAGATAAATGAATTAGAGATAAAATATTTTATATCAGAAATTTAAAAGAATTTTAAATAATATATAAATGATTAGTTTCAATTCATTTATTATCAATTATTTTTAAGTTGAAAGTAAAGTAAGTTTGAATTTAACAATCATTTTTGACGTTTCTAAAAAACAATTCTAACGTTTATAACTACATCCTTTTAACTTCTATATTTCTTGCCATGATGTCACTAAAATTTTGGTTATGTGCTTGAATTAATAGGATTTATTACAACTCTTACATTTAAAAATGTGTAGTTATTTATTTACTAACATTTTTGGGGAAAGGTGTGATCAGAAGGTTACAATACATTTGTCAAAAGGTAAAGGTTATATATAGGTGGGTGAGCTTTGGTAAGCTTTTGACATAACTTGCAAGCCGTATAGATTTTCCATCTTCAATTACTTTAGTCTTGCATCTCTCTCTCCGCTCTCTCCTGTATTTTATTTCACAATCCCTTCGAACATATATGCAATAAAAAAATTTAATGGGGAGGCAGCCATGCTGTGACAAGCTCGGGGTGAAGAAAGGGCCGTGGACGGCCGAGGAAGACAAGAAGCTCATAAACTTTATACAAACCAACGGCCATTGTTGCTGGCGTGCGTTGCCGAAGTTGGCCGGTCTCCGCCGCTGTCGAAAAAGTTGCCGTCTCAGGTGGACAAACTACCTCCGGCCTGACTTGAAGAGAGGCCTTCTCTCTCATGACGAGGAACAACTTGTCATCGATCTGCATGCTCATATCGGCAACAAGTAAGCCTAAATAACTAATCATATGTTACTTTAATTTTTTTTTTAACTGTACTTTCACTTTTTTTTTGCTAGCTCAAACTTTTGTATCATATATCGGAAGCTTGAAAGTTTTAAATTTATGTTGAAATTCAAATTTTATATTTCAACCGAAACTAGAGACTAGGATAAAAGTTTTGTAAAGTCAATTGCATGTATATTGTATTATTATCCAATAACTTTAGTATATATATAAGTGTAGTGTAAATTATGCCAAATAATGAATTTAGATATTTATCCCACATATCAAAGTAGTCGAATCATATCGACGACGAACTATTTTTTCGTTTTGCATTAATTTTTCTCTAAAATAACTTTAAAGACAAAAGCATTGAGCTTAGTAGTAGTGTAAGATTGTTGTTGTTTTTTTGTCCCGGTTTCAAATTAACTTTGGAACGGAAGACTATTAAATTAAAATATCTAAAAAACTGATTCCGGATCTGGTATAGGATTTTGACTTTTTAACAAAAATACCTTCAACACAAAGTAGCGTCGATCGGTCTTTCTCTTCGAAAATAGTATTGACTTATTTTGTCAATTTCTTATGTTTATATTCCAAAATTTTAGCATCTCCACAAGCACTTGTTAAAATATTTGTGATTATGTTTTTCTTTAAAACCATTGGCTGTATTTTATAGGTGGTCTAAGATAGCTTCAAGATTACCCGGAAGAACAGATAATGGAATAAAAAACCATTGGAATACTCACATCAAGAAAAAACTTGTTAAGATGGGAATCGACCCCGTGACTAGTCAACCTCTAAAACAAGAACCTAATAATACCGATAATCCAAATAGCACTTCTTCAGTTTCCAATGATATCTCAAAGGAACCAAAGAGCAGCAGCACCAAAAACGTCGAGACAAATGGCACGACTACTGAAGACGAAAGCAGCAGCGCAGTTACTAGACAAAACAGTTCCAAGGATAGTGAAAATAATCTGCTCAATGATGAAGAATTGTTTAGTTATTTTCATGACAATAACTAGACAAAACAGTCCGACGAAACTACTAAAGCTGAGACTCCGTGGGGTGACAGTAACTATAATGTTGGTGGAACATTATATCATCATGACAATAATATTTTCGGTGCCATAGCAGATTTTCCGATATGGCCACCTGAAAGAATCGACAGTAAGGTTTGGACGTTTCATGATTACTGCCAAGACTTTAGTGTTCATGATTTTGGGTTTTGATTCTTAACCATGACATAAAGGAAACTGGCACAAGCATTAATTAGTGTCATGTTTCTGCATACCTAGCATACATATACATAAGTATACAGACACACGCATACAAATATACACATATTTACCATGTAAAGCAGCAAGGGTGCACCATGGTTTTCAAGTATTATTAATTAGGGTTATGGTGTATGCAGCGGTTCGTCAAAGTCAAGAAAAGATAAGTTTATCTCCTTCTGTTTTGTAAAGTTGATTATTCAAATGTTCACAATTACCAAGATATTTGTATGAATCTAACGTTAATGTATGTCTATTTTGTATTTTGAATTTTCTCTTTTATAGTATAAATTTGTATGCATAGTGAATAAGATCTTAAGAATAATATTAATTTACAAATTAATTTTACAAGATTATCTATATATATGTACATTATTTCACGTGCTATTGAAAAACAGTTTACTCTCTCAAAAGATTTTGCTTATGTTAAACATGCATCTAAAATAGTTTTGTTATAGACTCGACGAAGTCTCCTCTCAAAACAGAAGAAAAACCTCGACGAAGTACAAGAGTAAGACGATGATCAGAAAACAATTGGTTTTAGTTCTCTTTTCAACACCAACCCAAGTCAGCTTGAGTTAATTTGGACGATAGATAATTAGTTTTCGCTATCAACGTTTAGAATCTTTTAACTTAGAGCTGTGGCTCCTATTTGTCTTGGTTTTTTTCACCATTGACCATATGTATATTTAGTTTTTTTTTGGGAATTTTATTGATTTTCAAAGACGGCATGATTTTAATCAATTAAATTAAGGATGTGGAGGAATTTCCCAATAAACATCACATCACACCACCAATTCTTCCTGGGTTGAATTAGGTGTCTCACCAATATATGGTTGCTTTTTGTAAAAAAAAACACTGAAACATGATCTTGGCCGTAAACCAGTTTTGATTTTCATATTGTTTCCAATATATGTTCATCAGTTCAAATTAGTGCAGAATAATTTTAGTAAATAGTTTTTTTTCACCACTAATAATCCCCTACAATAGAAATGTATGCATTTTCTACTAATTTATTTTTTTGTGAAATAAAAGTGGTTTCTACTAATTTGATGTAACAAAAAAAAAAAAGTATTGTTCTGTTGATGTATTTTTACGTTTTTGTTGTTATTCATGAATCATGACCAATTTTTTGGATCAACACATTTCTGGACGTGGACACAATTGACGGAACGAGTACGAACTAGTTGATCACAAGCTTCCTTCCCAAATCATATTACATACAGACTTTGTGATAATAATCCTCAGTCCCTCCCTATTAAACAACAAATGATCAGATTCGTCTAAATTTCTAGACTATTTGCTTTTTATTTTAATATTAACTGACTCGACTCTGTAAGAATCTATGTAATCAGTCAAACATCATCTTGTCTTGTATGTATTTGGTCTCTGACATCTTTCGAGAAGGATCGATAATTAACAAAGTTTTACACATTTTTTCTTATAGAGTAGAGTCTATACTAAATATATGTACAGAGCTGAGGAGTTGTCAAACTCATAGAGTGCCAAGTTTATGAAATACTTTTCTTTGCAATCTTTTAAACCTTGATGGATTTTACGGACAAATCAACGATCAACATGCATAAATCAGAGTCAATGAAGAAAAGAGTTAAATTTTGTGTTGAAATTTCTCCAACAATGAAAATGCCAAGTAAAAATAATTCCACAAATCTCATCTCGTGAAGTTAAACACATAAATTGCAAAAGAAAAAAAGCTCTTTGATTTGTTTCATTCTACTTAGGTCCTCCTCCGAACTTGCCCATCATCTTAGCAATCACCGGAGCCACCTTCGGGTTTGACTGATGCTTCGCCAGATTCGCAGGGTTCTTCATCACTGTTTGAACACAAAATAAAATACATTAAACCTCATAAAACAATTAGTAGAGCAACAACACTAACTGTAGTGAGTCATACCATCTTGAAGAGCAGCCATGACTTCTGGGTCACTAAATGCCGTCATTAGCTCAGGATCCTGCTCACAACATATAAAACCATTCTCACATTATCAAAACCCTTCCTTGCTATGCTAAAAATCAGAACCTTGGTTAATTTGCATATGGCCACTCTCTTACATTCAATATTTTGCTGAAGTCAACACCACCTGGCATACCACCAGCACCTGCACCACCAGCACCAGGCGCACCGCCTGCACCGGGCATGCCTCCTGCACCGGGCATACCTCCCATTCCGGCAGGCATACCTCCCATTCCTCCCATTCCGGCAGGCATACCTCCAGGGAAACCACCTGGCATACCTCCCATTCCAGCAGGGAAGCCGCCGGGCATACCTCCCATTCCTCCAGGGAAGCCGCCGGGCATACCTCCCATTCCTCCAGGAAAGCCACCAGGCATACCTCCAGGGAATCCGCCGGGGAAACCACCACCTCTGCTTGATGATGATTGTTCTTCTTTCTTAGCTTTATCATAGGCAGCCTTACAGAAAACAAAAACGAAGCATGGATAAGCCACAACTGAGTTAGACAAAAAGCAACATGCTTCTCAAATAAACCCACATATAGCAGCTAACTGATAATGTCAAATACAAGAATTGAATTTTTCATGGTCTTATAAAAAGCTACCTGTGCTTCAGCACGGCGACGTTGTCTATCACGTGCAGCCTTTTTGTCATCTCTTTCCTTGCGTAGTCTGTCATACTTCCTACGGTGCTCCTCAAGCTTATGAGCGTTAGGTTCAACCTAAAAACATCAAAGAAGTGAGCAACAGAACAGACTAATGATTGTTCATGAATTCAAGAATCAGTAGATAGACAGACAAATACCTTTTTGAGAACTGCGCTAATTTCCTCATCATAGTCTATGGTAGATGCAAGGTGAAGGTCTTTTGCAGCCTCTGCCCATTCTCCAAGCATGGCATGAGCCATACCCCTTGCCTTGTATCCCTTTGCAGAGTCAGGATTAATCTGCCATCTCAAACACACAGAATGATTAAATACCATCTCTAGTAAAAAAGAAGTTCCCTGAGGAAAAGATTGACCACTGTACCTCCAATGCAGCATTAGCGTCTCTAATAGCAGCGTTTGGCTTCTTCAACTTAATGTAGACACTGGCTGAAACACATAAATACAGACACAAATTAGGTAAGGAAAAAATCATTTGATGGAAGTTTTAGAAAGAAACTGTACAAACCTCTGTTTCCATACATAATAGCTGAAGTAGGATTCAACGTTATGGCCTGAGTCAAATGCTCAACTGCTTCATCAAACTTTCCTTCAGAGAGAGCCTCCATGGCCTTGCCCTTAGCTTCTTGAGAAGCTTCACGGTTCTCATCAGTCACTTCAACTGATGAATCTCCCATCTAGTTACCAAAAAAACCAAGAGCTTTTAATTAGTAAACCAAAAGCTGAAGTTTTGGTTTGTTTGGTTATCTTACCTTCTGAGGAGGATCATTATCAGGCTCAACGGTTTCTCCTTCAAGCTCAACATCAGACTCAACAATCTCATCATCTTCTTCTTCTTCTTCTTCAACTACCTCCACTTTGGGTTTCGGCTCTTCAGTTTCCTCCATATCATCATCACTGTCTTCTTCCACTACAAAGCTCTTCTGCTAAACCGAAACAAAACAAAAGTTAGAAAACAAATCAAATACATACTTTCCTACAAAACACAAAACGAATTTCAACCAAACATGATAATGGTAATATACCTCTTTGGTGTCTTTGTGTTCTCCACTAGCAGCAGTAGGCAGCTTAGCACCAAGACTGAAACCAAGGGATTCATTCATCAGAAAGAGAGAGTGAGACCACATTAACACTCTTCAAATCAAACAAGTAAGCAAACATAAACCCAAAGCTTCCAAACCATCAAAATTACAATAGAACAGCTTCACAGATCAAAGACATGAACTTCCTTTAACAATGGATAAAAGGGTATATCAATTCCACGAGAGATCAGTGCATAATACACGAACAAGTACAGTTTATTACACATACAGATACATTAAAGGCCAATACTTTATGAATCTCAACAACCACATATACGAACTAAGGTATAAAGGGAAACGATTAGATCGAAGTAAAGGAGGAGAGAGAGGTACCTCTCGAGATACTCGCGGAAGAAGGAGAGAGGAGGTGTGGAGAGAAGGGAAGGGTTAGACTTGCATTGATCGATGAAGTCCTTTAGTTCACTTAGCTTCGTCGCGTCCATCGTTTCGAGTACGATCGGCTGGAGAGAGAGAGAGCAGCAGGAGGAGACAAAAAATTGTGTATGTGTTTAGGTCTGAGTGTTGTTTTTTTAAGTCTTGTCGAGTCCAAAGTTTGAGACTCTATCCAGATCTTAGCCTATTGGGCCACTTCTGTTTAAAGCTCAATTTACTTTCTAAAGACCATTCTTCTATTTAATACACTGTCGTATAGGTTAGGTGATTAAACACTTCATAACAACGGGAAAATTTTCATATGATGTTGATGTTTCAAAACACACTAGACCATGATCGGCGCATCAGCGCAAATTTTATTTCTCGGATGTATTATATATAATTTAGTTTTATATAGGTTTGAGTTTCTACAGTTCCGTTTTATATTTAAAAATCAACATCAAACTCTCTTTTGTATTAGTTATGCTAAGTAGTGAATTATGTAGATGTAACTGTGCAGTAAATTATGTAGATGTAGTTGTGCAGTAAAAACACTACTTCTATACGTTTGTTCAAAGTGCAAAATCAAATTCAAACTTAACTGTTTGCATAAAAATAATTAGCTGAGAGTTTAATTACTTCTGATGTTAATAATATATCCAAAGTTTTTAAAATAATATACAAATTTTAATGAAATATAACATTGTTTAAAATAAAATGGAATTGATCCCACTTTTCAAGCACGAGAATATTTTATGATGAAAATTTTCACTAATAATAACATTTTTTTGTTAATTTGAAAAAAAGTTATGTATTTAAAATATTTTTGCATCTAAATCAGTTTGAAATTCGACATAAACCTGCAATTTAGCTGGTCAATCTAGTGATTCCATAATTTGACTTAGATTTTTAAAAATATCTATATTTAAAAAATCACTAAACATCGAGACCAACTGATTGTATTGATGGATAACTAATACATAATATTTAAACCAGTAAAATTAAGTTCTATTTATTTTTTTTTGTTTTTTTATAAATTATTTAAAATTTAAAATTATTTAATTTATCTAAATAACTTGAAAGAAAATGGTTAGAAATTTTAAAAAGATGACAGCTAATATTTTGTATTGTTTGGACATAAGATTAATTATAGTGTTGTCTGGAAATATTGATAACAGTATAAAGAAATAAATATATTGTTTGGAAACATGGATAATAGTATACTGAAACCTATGTTTATCGATTCTTCGTTTGATGTTTTATGCGTACGAGGCTCCTTTTTTTTTGTAACTCAACTTCAACTGATTCATTCACCCATAAACTTGGTACAAGACATTTTGACCCATAATGTTTCTACCACATACAACACTGCATCGTAGTAACACCCTGGACCACTCACTAGGTGAAAACTCACTCGGATCCGGCGCAACCTAGAATACAATGCTGTATTTTCTAACCACAATAAGATGAGAGAGCTCCACAACTCGAAGCAAACCATCTCTTAAACCACCTAATTAGACCTCATGATACATACACATTTACTAACTTCATGAGACACTCCTAAAACCGAGGTAACAAATTATACCAAGCTGTTAGTCCCTTAAAATTTGCATGATAAACTTGACCCAACAACATCATCACCTTAGGCGCATTCCCGGAATAGTTTTGTACCACCAGCTTTCAACGTACCGATCCTCAGCCATAAAACCAGACAGACTTATCCGAAATGAAAGATCGAGCCTTGGTAGCAAGCACGAACCAGGTCTGTAATCCAAGTTTCCAGCGGTGTGGGGCGCGGACCACCGACTAAGACGATCTTCTCCGGCGCTGCGATGTCGAACCACCACCACGTACCGCATAAAGGAAAGCTTCTCGAGTCGATCACTCCTTCATCGCAGAACTTTTGATGCGGCCATCAAACCAGTAGCTGAACAGGAGGTCCATCCAACACCCCACTCACCCAACCAAGGCGTCAAGCTGAACATATGTGCACTAAAAATGCCATATCTCTTAAACCAGGAGGGTTTAAATAATGAAACCAATTTTCATGGATTCTACACTCAAGACGAAGTCCAGCCCAGTTTGAATTTTGAAGAAATCTTCACGGACCAAGGAGTTATGAGTTTTAGAAGTTGGAGGTTTCTCAGCCCACCCGATTGCGAGTATCCGTGTTTAGAAGAGGAGTTAAGCCCAACAAAGAAGCATATCGTGCCAAGGCCAATTATGGAGTTCAAGAGGGATCTTTTATGGATCCAGGAAGCCCAAAATCAAGAGAAAAGGACGATCCAAACCAAAGTTATAACCAGTTTCCAAAACCGGTTATTAGGAGCCGATTATGGAAAGATTGCTTGAACCTTTGCTCCAACCCATTTCAAACCGAGTTCAGGCAACCAGGATACAATCCAGACGAACCAAGACTTCCAGTAGACCAATCCAGCCAACGAGGAGTGCCCCCATTCACCTTACCATACACCAACAAGCATGGGAACAAGAAGATCAACATTTACAGCTACTTGCCTTTTCCGAATTTATTCTTTCTTGCAAGAATAAAAGACCAACGGCTCTTTCCCTTTGAAGCAGAAGAAGTCAAGACCAAAGTGAGTATATTCAGTCATCAGAGACTCCTATTTCGTGGATACAAGACCAAGATATCAAGGTATAAGATCAGATCTTCTCAAGGCTACAAATCTGCTCCAAAAGCTAGTTTATTGGAGACAAGACCCATTGTATTTAATTTTGAGTATTTTCTTTCCATCTTAGAGTATCAGAATGTTGGGACTTGTCCCTGGTCGTGCATTATATAAGCAGACCTCCTACTTCATTGTAGAAACACCCTTGATCATTTGAAAGTTATTGAAACAGTTTTTCTTTAAACAAAGTTGTGTGTTTCTTTGTTGTTCTTTCTCTAGTTCTTAGTGTGAGATTCACAAAGTCCTAAAGAAGCCACGTCCAGAGAAGCTTGTGAGACTCAAGACCATATGTTCGTCCATTGATTGAGAGAGTCAATCCCTATCCAGCAATCCCCATCTTTCTATCCCTTTGTTTACTGTTTTTCTTATTGTTTTTGTTTAGTTCTTCATTTGTTTCTCATAAATCTAAAAACCATAAAAATATTGTGCTTTCTGTTGTTCATCAATTGCTTATTGTTTATCTTTTGTTTGCTTGATTAAAATCCAGAAAAACTCATAAAAAGTTTCACTCTTTTTGTTTCAGGTACAACAGCCTTTCTTCCCACCCTCACAGCCCCATTACTAGCCATCTTTGTCCCTGTTCTTGTTCAGATCCGACCCTCAAGATCACCATCAGTATACTCTGAAATCTCAGGCTGTATCATTTGGTATCAGAGCTCAAAGCTCCTGAATCTGGTGATATCTACCCTACACCTTCTTGCTTGCATTTGTTTTATCCTCTTAAATAAAAAAAATATATTGTTTGCATTTTTTTCTGTTTATTTCTGAATTGCTTGTTCTTGGTGTTAAAACCAGAGATAGGCACGAAAGAGATAACCATTTTCTTGTTTGATTCATTTAGAAAAGACAAAAAAATCAAATCTTGTTTGCATTTAATTTTTAGGCTCTCTTTACCATATTTAGATTGCTTGCATATACCTTTTAAAAAAAATATATAAAAAGTTCCTAAATTTCTTTGTTCTCACTTATTCCTCTTACCTTCTTTGCTAAGGAACGAGCTAACACTCTTATTCTCTGTTCTTGTAAGGTACAAATAAGAAGAATACATCGGAGAAACCATGGAAGATTATTCAGAAGATGAGGAACCTTATGATTCAAGCCAAGACTCCAACTTTGATGAAACTGACCAAACATGGTCTAGTGAGGAGGAAGGCTGTGATGAGTCCAAGTCTGATGTTGAATACTCTTATTCAGAGTATGAAGATGGCCCTGGTGAAGAGGTACCTAGGCCGGAACCACCTGATCACCCATTTGAAGTTACCAGCCCTCAAGAGTGTTATGGAGAAGACACTGGTTCTAGGATCAGTGTGGATGAGGTAGAAGAATTCCTTGGAGAGGAAACAGAACGTGGTGAAGATGAAGATGACCATGAAGACTCATATCAAGAGAAAGCTGATTCTGAAATCAGTTTAGAAGAAGTATTTGAGTATGAAGATGATTTCTCGGAAACTAGTGAGCCCCATGAAGATGTTGATGGGGGAGAAAAATTATCTCAGCTTGGTGAAGAAGAAAATGAAGAAGAGTCTCATACCAGAGGCATACCATGGTGTGAGATACCTTATTCTGATGAAGAGGATGAACACCAAGACGAAACTGATTCCCAAATCAGTGTAGACCACTTGGAAGAGGCCTATGGAGAAAAATCAGATTATCAAGAAGACTTCACTGAAGAGAAGGAGGCCTTAAGTGAGGCTGGAGAAAAAGTTGATCAGTCTGAGTACATCCACTTTTCAGGCCATGATCAAGGACCAGAAGCTTACCTAAGGTGGGAACAAGACTTGGAAGATTGGTTTCAACAACACAACATTCAAGAAGAAGAGAAAGCAAGCATTGCCGAAGATACTCTCACCAAGAGTGCATTTTGGCTTTGGAATCTTGATGCCAATTACTGGCTCGATNATCCACTTTTCAGGCCATGATCAAGGACCAGAAGCTTACCTAAGGTGGGAACAAGACTTGGAAGATTGGTTTCAACAACACAACATTCAAGAAGAAGAGAAAGCAAGCATTGCCGAAGATACTCTCACCAAGAGTGCATTTTGGCTTTGGAATCTTGATGCCAATTACTGGCTCGATGATCACCCCTCAGAAGCTTCCTAGACAGACATGAAAGATATACCACGTGAAGAGTATGTTGTAGAAGCTGAGAAGAATGGGAAGGGTTATTTTGCGAGTACCATTAAACCTGAACCAAGGCGGCTGATAATGGCAACAAGGCCAAACCATAAGGTTAAGCTCAAGATATCACGAACCAAGACCAAACCAGGAGTTTAAGCTCATCATCAAGGGAGAAACCGAGCCTACTCCATCAGAAAGTGTCCATTGCGTGAAAGCAGATTTCATTCCACAAACCAAAGCTCAAGAGCTAAGTGCAAAGCCATTGCCTAAAGTCCATGAGAAAAAGAAACCAAGTAAGTCTTCTAAATCTTCAAAACCAGTAGAACCCATTTGCTATAGATGTCATGAGAAAGGTAACTTTGCTGTTACATGTCCAACTAGGCTAGTAGTGACTTCTCCTTCACTAGAAGTTAACTTGGAAACAACTAGTGAAGATATAGATCAACTGGTTTGCAAATTTCCTACTTCTGGTATAATGCACTTGTCTTGTCCAAAGAGAGATTATGCAGGTCACAATGAGGACCAGGAGGACGTGAGTTCAATGTCAAAACCAGAAGTAATCATCCCTGGAACAGACCCACAAGCTGAACTTAACACAGCCACTAGCAGTCCATTGAAACAAGAAGCTGTTTCTGTTCCAGCACATGATGAGGTACAAAATAATTTAAATAAATTATTTTGCTCTGATTATAATACTTCCAAATCCATCATGATGTGCTTGTCTAGTTCCAAAAGGTATGAAACAGGTACCTCACTAAGCAAAGAACCTATGATGCAAAAGGTTGTATTAAAGAGAGATGACAATGCACTTCCAAAGAAGCAATCTTTGCTTCAACACTTCTCTGAAGAAGATGGAATTACGCCCAGAATCATCTTACTTCAGGAAGAACCCCCAGACCAGTCCTTAAACAGACAGGTCGTGCCAATGGATGCCCCAATCCAGCTTCCAAATCAGGTAAGAGCAACTATCCCTTGTTCAAAAATCAGTAATTTGGGTATTGTACACACTGATTTATTATTCCCTGATAAGTATGAGAAAATAATAGGATGTTTAGAAAATTATTTTTAACATACTGATTGTCTTAGATCACACTTAGATGAAAGGCAAGAAATTTTCCACCTACTGAGACTGGATTGCATAAAATTGATTTAAATGCTAATTATTCCATGACTGCCATAACACACTTGTCTTTTGCCAAAGATGTTGGGATTTTAACAGGAACAAAAGCTGAAGAATACCAGCCCAAGAATGCACCATAACAGAACATAGGAGTAGTTCTGTCATTCCTACTGAAAGGAGAACCACCTGATGTGCCAACAAAGACCAAACCGAAATTGTATCATCAAGGTAAGGTTCTAAACTCCCAAAAGAGAATGAAACCTGACTTGCTCTATTGTGGTGTATCAGGTTATCCAGTTTTGAGGTCAAAACCTTTACAAGAGGGAGGGAATGATGCGGCCATCAAACCAGTAGCTGAACCGGAGGTCCATCCAACACCCCACTCACCCAACCAAGGCGTCAAGCAGAACATATGTGCACTAAAAATGTCATATCTCTTAAACCAGGAGGGTTTAAATCATGGAACCAATTTTCATGGATTCTACACTCAAGAAGAAGTCCAGCCCAGTTTGAATTTCGAAGAAAACTTCACGGACCAAGGAGTTATGAGTTTTAGAAGTTGGAGGTTTCCCAGCCCACCCGATTGCGAGTATCCGTGTTTAGAAGAGGATTTAAGCCCAACAAAGAAGCATATCGTGCCAAGGCCAATTATGGAGTTCAAGAGGGATCTTTTATGGATCCAGGAAGCCCAAAATCAAGAGAAAAGGACGATCCAAACCAAAGTTATAACCAGTTTCCCAAAACCGGTTATTAGGAGCCGATTATGGAAAGATTGCTTGAACCTTGGTCCAACCCATTTCAAACCGAGTTCAGGCAACCAGGATACAATCCAGACGAACCAAGACTTCCAGTAGACCAATCCAGCCAACCAGGAGTGCCCCCATTCACCTTACCATACACCAGCAAGCATGGGAACAAGAAGATCTGCATTTACAGCTACTTGCCTTTTCCGAATTTATTCTTTCTTGCAAGAATAAAAGACCAACGGCTCTTTCCCCTTGAAGAAGAAGAAGTCAAGACCAAAGTGAGTATATTCAGTCATCATAGACTCTTATTTCGTGGATACAAGACCAAGATATCAAGGTATAAGATCAGATCTTCTCAAGGCTACAAATCTGCTCCAAAAGGTAGTTTATTGGAGACAAGACCCATTGTATTTAATTTTGAGTATTTTCTTTCCATCTTAGAGTATCAGAACGTTGGGACTTGTCCTTGGTCGTGCATTTTATAAGCAGACCTCCTACTTCATTGTAGAAACACCCTTGATCATTTGAAAGTTATTGAAACAGTTTTTCTTTAAACAAAGTTGCGTTTTCTTTGTTGTTCTTTCTCTAGTTCTTAGTGTGAGATTCACCAAGTCCTAAAGAAACCACGTCCAGAGAAGCTTGTGAGACTCAAGACCATATGTTCGTCCATTGATTGAGAGAGTCAATCCCTATCCAGCAATCCCCATCTTTCTATCCCTTTGTTTACTGTTTTTCTTATTGTTTTTGTTTAGTTCTTCATTTGTTTCTCATAAATCTAAAAACCATAAAAATATTATGCTTTATGTTGTTCATCATTTGCTTATTGTTTATCTTCTGTTTGCTTTATTAAAATCCAGAAAAACTCATAAAAAGTTTCACTCTTTTTGTTTCAGGTACAACAGCCTTTCTTCCCACCCTCACAGCCCCATTACTAGCCATCTTTGTCCCTGTTCTTGTTCAGATCCGACCCTCAAGATCACCATCAGTATACTCTGAAATCTCAGGCTGTATCAACTTTGGTACATGTTATTTCCGAAAACCAGAAGACAACCCACCTTCTACCCATTGTCAATCCTCGCCTCCGATAGTCTCACCTCCATGTACAAAGGTAGATCCATGACGGAGAACTTGTCACACCGAGTCACGCACCACCACCAGTGAGGAATCGCTGTAGATCTGTAAAGAGAAAATTAGATCTTGCTCATCCTCAAGCTCTAAACGCTGATCTACTTCTCTTTCGTTACCACCACAGCCTCGCCACTGTTTCAGAGGGAGTTGGATGGCAACACCAACGCCTTCGGAAATCTGTTGGAGATACTCCAACTAACCCAGAATCAACAAGCAAAAAAATCAGATGAAAGAAAGAAAAAGAGCAAGCAAAAGAAAAAGAAGATGAAGAGGAAAGGAAGAGCCTCTGACACCGGCACTGCCGGACCGGAGTTAAGGTTTCACGGCTTTGCTGTTTTTTTCCTTTTGAACGAGGAACGTGAAGATCCGCACGAGGCTCCTTTCAGTTAATGACCAAATTCTGAATTCAATAATATTTTTCAAATGGTTGAATAAATATTGACATGCTAATAATGCAATTCACGATTTTCTTATAATGGAGAACACAGACTTGACGTTATAGGGAGGTGTTCTGAATGGACTTCTTCTATAAATCGATGCTGGTTAGTACTCAAGTATCATAGAAAATTAACGGTTTAGCTTATGTTTTTGGTGACTACCTTTTCGTATGGTGTTTATTATTAGTGAAAAATCAAACCGTGTTTAACGTTTGGAAGGTCAATCTCAGTTAGTATTTTGCAAGCCTTTTCACAGTCATATATCTATATTAAAAAAATCATTAAACACTGAGACTAATTGATTGAACTGATAAATAACCGATATGTAATATTTAAACTAGTAAATTAAGTTTTATTTATTTTGTGTTTTTTTATAAATTATTTAAAATTTAAAATTATTTAATTTATCTAAATAACTTGAAAGAAGATTGTTAGTTAGAAATTTTTAAAAGATGACAGCTAATATTTTGTATTGTTTAGACACAAGATTAATTATAGTGTTGTTTGGAAATATAACATTATATAAAATGAATATATTATTTGGAAACATGGATAATAGTATAAATAAATGAATATTAGTGATTTAATATATGTTTAAATATAAAGTAAGAAGGTGTATTTAATTTTAAAACTTACAAAATAAATGTTAAGCCCAACACAATGTTTCTATTTTAATAAGATAGATTTTGTAATCGAATAATACATATGAAAATATGTAATCACATAAGATGAACTGTTCTTATGAAAAAAAACATCTGATGTTGCTGCCATCCATCTTTGATCACTGCAACAATTAGAAGCGAGAAGTTAAAAAAAAAAAAAAAATAGAAGTTAGAAGTTCGACTTACAAAATTTGTAACGTCATAGAACACAATAATACGAACCGAATTCGGAATTTAACAAATGATATCAAATTTGTAACCATGTGCTTACTCGGAAGATTAAAAAATGAACTATATAGATAGCCAAAAATTAGTCGGTTAATCGTAGCAGTCTTATTTATTTCAGTATTATATATGTATATATCTTTTTAATTAATTTTTGATAACTAAAAGACTTTGGACTTCATTTATATACTTCATGCTGTCGTTTTTTCTATAGTGTATGGTTAATGAATTATATATTTTTATCAAATAAATTTAATAGTTTTGCAATGCCTTGTAAATAAATTGATAATTTTCTCATAAAGGAAGGACCATAAATACAAACAAATGGATGAAAATGAAATCAAATAAACGTTATTTTTGAAATTCTCAGTTTCAAACAAGAGAAATAGAAGGAAAAGAATCACATGGAAACTGGTCCGTCCAAATTTAAAACAAATGAAAATCGAAATTAAAACATAACGAAGATTAGACTTGCAACTAAACCAAAAACAGCCATTGCCGCAGCAACGGTGTTCGCTCTTCCTCCATTGCCCTCACTTGTGTTATTGTCTTTGCTATTGCTGCTACTGCTACTGTTGCTGCTGCTTCCTTCTCCTCCTTTACCACACAAAACCAAAATCCATTCACTACTAAGAACGAATCATTGCATTATGATCTCAAACCTCTATGACTATGGTTCGTGACGTTGTTGGTGTAGCATAGATTTTTCGTTTTATTTATGACTTTCTAGTACAATCGGCAATACATAGAATATCATCACAGTACTGATAATCATGTTTAAACCATGTATAGTTTGCATGCATATTCCATAACTGTCAAATTGCAATTTTCTAACTTCGTTTTATTATTTGCTTATAAGAAAATATAGTTATGATATGCATGATTAAGTAATTATATGATGTCAAAAAAAAAATTAAGTAATTATATAAATAACATGCATAACTAGTCACAAGGTCGTAATTAATCTATACGTACCATTACTAGTACTCTTGCAAGAGTATTTGTCAAAAACGCCACATTTGGTTGTGATTCCGGCGGAGTACGGTCCGGTGATGTTCACAAGCGCCGGGTTCGCAATGTAATTATCACAAAGGCAAGTGACTTGCGTTGTGGTCGCGGATTTGAGATCGCTGCAGCAATCATCCGTTGGCATTTCTCTAACGGTTGCGAAACACTTTTCGAGAAGGTCAGGCATCACTGGGGCACATTCAGGATCCATCTTAGGAAACGTTGGCTCAGCTAGCAGCGGGACAGTCGTAACCGCTAAAAATAAAATGGCTGCAACCGCTGAAACCTTGTTAATGTAAGCCATTTGATTGTTTAGACAAAATGTGGGGCTAATTAATCTTACTTTGTTTTTCGTATGTGACTTCCAAAAAGTGCATGAACGTTTATATAGGAGTCTTGGCATGGACACTATTGATTATTGATGATTGAAACAAGAAATATATTTCGTTTTTCCTTCCTCGTAATCATTGTTTTATATTTTACATAGTTGACCAAAAACATGCGAAATTCGTTTTCTCTCTACCCGGCCATGTTCCTCGCATTTGATTTGCTTTGTGGACAAATATTTTATGTTATGATGTGTTACGTAGTATATAGAAATAAATTTATGAATATATATAATGGAACTTTTGCAAAGAAGTAGCTATGGACAGAAGGTCGAAACTCATTTATAAGCTGGACGGTGCTGACAATTCAAAGATATGCTTTATTATAATATATATGAATCAAGATTCTTATGACCATACAACTAATTAGCATTACAATAATAGGGATTATAATTTGAGATGGATTGACAGTTCACTCTAATGATGATGTGTAAAGAAAGCCGATTACTAATACAATTTCAATGCCTTTGACTTGTATGTCTACAATGGTGGTATGTTTCAGACCTCACAAAAAGTTGGGTAAGACCGTAAAGAGTATCAAAAATCCATCAGTAACAAAATAAAACAAATTCAGATAGTATGTATCAGAAAGACTATAAGTTAACGTGTAAGACATGTGAACCACATTAACCAAGTCTAACCTAAAAAATAATTTCTACAATTCTACCAAATTACGTAAAGCTAGTTCTAGGTTTATCTCCAAAGGACATTTTATGAAGAAAATTAAATAAGATCAATTATTTTGATAGTCAATGCAATCATTCAAAACGAGAAAACCCTAAATAATTAGTTTTCAGATCTACAAAAATAGCCCAAACTAAAGTTTTAAAGAACACACTCGCAACAAACCCAAATAGAGGTACTGCTGCAGCAATCTTGTTCAGCGCTCCTCTATTGGCTCCTATACCACACAGAACATGAATCAATCAATCCCTTGAATATTATTTCAGAAATGATTTTTTTCGAAATTGCATATGCATCATTACTATATTCATTATGAAGAAGGAAAAAAACATGGCTTAGTAAAAATATGACATGCCTTCCTACTTAATATATATGACATGTACATTTTTAGTAATGAAATTTTGATTTATTATAAACATAAACAAATAAATTAATAATGAAATATTTAAATTCTAGCAATGTTTCTAAATAAAATATAACTAAATTAATTTGTTGACAAAAAAATATAACTAAATTTTGGTTCTGTACTATAAAATAAGTTTTTATAAAAACAATTATTAAATAAAAACATTATTAAGCTAAATAAGAAAAACTAAACAACATATGTTTAGTTATAATTTCAAACTTTTGCTCCTATGTTTGAGAAGTGTACAAAAATCTGTATAACATCCACGGATTTACTTTGATACGAAGACGCAAGAATCAATTTTGTACATTGACATCATGTCACCTAGCCAGCTACTCAAAGTGCTCTGGAAGGGGGAGGGGGAACAAAAGGAGATTCAATGGCAAAAAAACGGTTTCACCCATGGTGTAGCCGATGCAGATAATTAACGTTCTAGGTTATTGAAACCATTTTGTTCTTTTTTTTTCTCTTCAATCAATTAGAATTAACCGATATATGTAGTTCGTTAGTATGTATCCGCATTTTTAAAAAGGATGATGTGCAAAGCCAGTCCAATGATTCAGAAGACTAGGAGCAAAAAAAAAAAAAATATGCAATTCAAAAGAGACGAACCCAGGCTGCACATGCCAAGATTACATTGTTGAACTTATATATATTTGGCGAATTTTTGGCCGAAATTAATTAATAAAAAAATCTGGAAGATCATGCTTCCTCGGCTTGGTCCAAGGACCAGATTTGGATGTGCATAGTGATATCTCAGACATGCTTCTAGAAGTAGTGTGACGCTAGTCAGTTTGGAATTTGGAAGATTTGTATTGGCAAGGGAAAGAGAGAGGAATCGTGGTATAAAAGTGAAATTATTGGAAGATACAATATTATGAGATTCAACGGTTCAAATTGGTATGATTACAAATTATGTTAACATGTCACTACAGGTCATGGTGAACAAAATTTCTTGTATAACATCCCTTTTCAGAAACATTTAAACAAGATATAAACCATTATAATTAATCAGACTCGGAGAACACCAATATGATTTAGAAACCATGGATACATGAGCAATCAAATAAACTTATTTGTTTCGAATTGTCAGCTTGGTAGTCCCAAGTTGTACTGAACATAATGAAATTAAAACAAAAGGAAGAACAGACTTGTAACCAAACCAAATAGACCCATTGATGCAACAATCTTGTTCTTTGCTCCTGCGTTACCGTCTCCTCCTTCGCCACCAAAACAAGAAAAATCAGTTGATTACCATAAATCAGCATTACTCTTGTTTCATATTGCGTAAAGAATCTACAAACTTGCTTAGCCGCTATGGATGTCATAGTTTTTATAATGTAAGCTATGCAAATAATAAATTTGAAATTACAAGATTATAAAAGGTACGTTCACTTGTACCACTGCAGGCGTATTTGTCAAGAACACCACATGCGCTGTTGATTTGGTTGTAGAAAGGTCGGGACAAGTTGCTGTAGACAGGATGTGCGATCAAATTGTCGCATAGACAAGTCACTTGTGTCGTGCTCGCCGATTTGAGACTCTTGCAACATTGATCCGATGGCACTGCACTAGGCGTTGAGTAGCAAATTTGGACGATATCAGGAATCGCTACTAGGCACACTGGATCCACCTTTGGCATTGGCGGCAATGGCGACATTGGTGGTAGTAGCGGCAGTGGCGACATTGGCGGAAGTGGCGACATTGGCGGGAGTGGTGGCAGTGGCTGTGCGTTCGTCCACTGAGGAGCGATCACAACCAATAGAAACAGCACCGCTGCCGAAACTTTGTTAATATGGATCATGACCATTGTCGTTACCGGCAAAAACTAAGGTTTAATTTATTTTTATTGTGAATTACTATTATTTCGTTTGTGAGTTCTCAAAAGTACATCATCTGTATTTATAGAGACGTCGTGAAATGTGTATTATTAGAATAGTGGATTAATAACATAAACATATTGTTTTGTTTTTGCTTTACGTTGTTGACCAAATCTCGAAGAATAAATAATTTAGAAGATATTGAACATTCTTAGAGTCAACAACAAAAACCAAATGATACTTATAAAAAGAAATTAGAATGGTATTAAAGTAATCCGACCATCATACGTTGGAATGACTAAAATCTCTTTTTATTGCTTAATTCTTCGTAAGACAATTGTGTCTAAGACAATAAGACGTGAGAACCACTATTGTACAACCGATGGAAATCAAGCAAACAGATACGATTTTTTAGTCCCTTACAAGTAAATATAACTTATTAGAATATTTTTTTGATAAAATATAAATAACATTGTTAAAACTGTATTTATTGTGTTACATCTATTTGTAACAAACAAAAATCTATTCAAAAACGGATTTTTTTTTATTTGTAATTTTTGTCTAAAGTTTGAAATTTAATGTTTTATGGTATAGGTCAAAGTATGTGGTTTAGGGTTTATAGTTAAAAGTTTCAAAATAGATATGGTTTGAGATTAAGTTTTAAAAAGACTTAATTTTCTAATTTTATATTTAAGATCTGTACGTAGTTTAAAATTTTAAAAGTTTATTAGTGTATTAGAGTTTAAAATATAATAAATTTTGTGGCTTTTGATTTAATGTATGGCCTTATATTCTTACAAAAATGTTTTATTTTTTTAACTTTTGATTTTAGTAATTGTAACTATATTTTTGACATATTATATAAATTTAAGTTATTCACTATTAAATTCCAAAAAAGAAATAATTTTTTTTTTATTATTGTAGGTTAAATTTAAGATTTGTTGTTAAAACATTAGATTTTGAAGTTTGTTTTTAGAAAAATTTAAGGGTTTGGATTTAATGTATAGGTTTAATGTATAGACAAATTTATAGGTTTGTTGTATGATATAGGGTTTTAGATTTAGAGATTATGTATGATATAGGGTTTGGATTTGTATATAGGTTTGGTGTTTAATTTTAAAATATTTATGTTTATAATTTTATATTTAAGATTTGGAATTTAAGTTCTAAAATATTATAAAGTTTATTAGTGTATTAGTGTTTAAATTTTGCTTTTAGAGTATAAGGTTCAGAAGTTTGTTTAGGGTTAAGGGATTCAAAAAGTATGTTATTATCACGTTTATTATTTTATGTGCTATTAAATTTACGCTATTATAGCATTTCTAATTATGCCGTTCTATCATAGTGTTTTCAAAAATGCAAACGCTATCTAAAACTAACGGATATGTTAACCATAGCAGAAAGCGGAAAAACGCTATCATGGTCTGCTATTAAAACTCATTTTTTTTGTAGTGAGATCAATTCAAAAATGGATTGTTTTTTTATCAATTCAAAAATTTAAATAGACGTTAAGTTGAAAAACTTCCTGTGGAGAGTTATAAAGAAGGCAATACTAGTTAGTTCTAATCTCGAAAGGAGAGTAGTAACGAGTTTTGTTTGTAAAAAATGCGGAGCACGGGAGAACGATATTCATGTTTTCCTCCAATGTCCACTTGCAGAAAAGTCTGGAGTATTTTACCTATTGCTCTGAGGTCACCACCCCTTCCACCGGTGGGTTTAACCTCTCTGATTTGACCCTGGGTTATGTGGAACTTGTGGAAGGCGAGAAACAAACTTATCTTTGAGAATAGAAGTTTCACAGTTCAGAAAATAGCTCTCAAAAGTGTCCAAGACGCTAAGGAGTGGAACTTCGCACAAACTGAGAACATGGACTCATCGCCGTCTGCCCTAGCAACGCACCATCCCCATCATCAATCATCCCGATCTCCCCCGACCTTCCCACCTGGAGTTTTAGTATGCGATGTCGATGCTGCTTGGGATGTCAACTCCGGAGATTGTGGAATATGTGGTGTCTTCTCAGGAGGCATGGAGAGGCCTCTCCCAAGTTTGTCTGAAGATCATAGCTATGTATCATTAGCTTTAATGGCTGAAGCCTTAGCTGTTCGTCTTGCGGTATCTTCTGCCGTATATTCAAACGTCCGATTCCTAGTGATTTTCTCGGATTCTCTATCTCTTATCAACATGTTAAAGAAGGGAGCAGGATTGGAAGGGAGAAATTAACCTGAATTGTTCAGTATCATATTTGATATCTATCACTATTTGTTTTTCTTTGATATTATATCTTTTCATTTCATCTTTAGAAACTTTAATGCTGAGGCTGATACTGTGGCAAACTTAGCCCTTGCAATGACTGTAACAAGCTCCATCCATGGAGTGTAAACCTTTTCGTTTAAGTAATGCAGTTTGGTTTGATCAAAAAAAAAAAAAAAATAGACGTTCACAGGTCTAGACGTTCACATCCATGGGTTTTATAGTGTTCAAGTTTACGGATATCGAACCTCTGTGAGTATTTACATATTTGGATCAGATTCAGTTTGGTAACTTTAGGGTTATCCGAAAGTATACTAATTATATATCCAAGTTGTTATTTTTTATATGAAAAAGTTGTTCATGCATTTTTATATGAAAATTATTCCTTTCGAATCTTATTAAAGGTCTTGATGCAGCAGTCTTGTTCATTGCTCCTCCATTGGCGCCGCGTCTCCTCCTTTATCACACAACCAAAATCAAGATTTTAATGCTATAAAAATATCATAACTCTTGTTTCACATTGCAGAATCAACCAATTATATGTTAGTAATAATTTACTATGCTCTCGCATTCCTTTGTCGCAGATTCTAATAATAATCCATGTCTTTTTAAATTTGATTTTTGATATACAACAATTCCGAAATTTATAGGCACAATATATTATTAGTAATCAGTGATATATAGTTGCACTATTAACTCATAAGAAATATGATAATCATGCTGTTCTTGTTTTATAGTGCTGATCTAAAACTAAGGACTTTCAATATCGTTCCTCGCATTTGATTTTCTGCCGAATGGATAGTTACAAAAAATCGAAAATGATACTCTCGTAAGTATATATATACAATGTATATGCGTATTATCTGGTAATGTGTAGTTGTGTACTATATATAGTAAAAGGAAAAAAAAAAACTCTTGCAATAACCAGAAGCTCAAAGATGTCACAATGGCAGGTATAAGTGGGCACATTTCAAATATCCAAATTTTTTGGAAGTATTCATAATCTTGTTTATTCTGTCCGAATAATTAAATTATCCAATTCAATTCGATCTGTTAATTAAATATTTAAATTTTTTAGAATTTTAACCGGATATCCGATTCGTCATACGAATAAAACAAAAATAAATAAAAATCTCAAAGTAATACAAAATAATAATAATTCATTACAAAAATAAAAATTTATTTAACTTTATAATTCTAATAACTATTATAATAAATTTAATCAATTAAAAATATTGTAAAACTTATATATAAAGTAATAAATATAAGAATATATATGCATATAACGGATCAGATTAAATATCCATTTCTAAAAATATTAATATTTGTGATCTATATTATTTTTTACGAATATTATATTTTAATATTGTTTTGTTTTCTAGAATTACTAATATCTGTATTTTTCTATTCGAATCGAAACGCATAACCGGTCAAATCAAAATCTATAAATACTTTATCCAGCATTAATGGCATGTATCATTCTATAAAGACCATCTGCTGTGGCCATAAAATATGTATGATATAACTATAGATATTAGTAAATTATTTTAATTTCACTTACCTTTTTATTGATAAAGAAATTTGTTGACCTAGTTAGGGAAATGAAACTAAACTCGTGCGGAGCATTCGTGTCTAAGACGTGAAAACCACTTCTGTAAAACCGATAAGCAAGTCGAATCGAGCAACAATTATCATCATTTTTTAAATTGTTCTCTTTTGCTAAATTATCATCCTATTGTATTGAAAAATCTAGTTTGCTATGAATTATGTCCACATAATATATATAGTCAATTTGTATTTCAAACTCCTAATGATTTATGCGAAAATCTTCTCAAATATATATATATATATATATATATATATATATATATATATATATATCCCTAATAATATATATATCATCTGTCAATTAAGTCGTAATCATGCCACACCAAAATAAGTCACTAGTGACGTGTTCATGTACGTAGTATATGGAAATAAATTTATATATATATACATATATATATATATATATATATATATATATAATTATTAAATTCGGGTTTATTATGGACTTCCAATTTAAAACCAATTGGTGATAAGTGGATTAGCCATAATTCTTTATATATTACTTAAGGTCCCTTGAATTCCCGATGTAGGATATATTATCCCTAATACCCCTCCCCGAGATGATGGCTCTTATCAGTCAGAAATCTCGGAATTTTAAGATACTTATATTCGGTCGAGTGAATCAAATACGACAATTATACTTAGTCGAAATGTTAAACACGACATATATATCCGGTCAGAAGGGTTAACTAATTAATTAGGAGTTTAGGGTTTTTAGGATCTGGGTTCTGATACCATGTTAAAATCGGGTTATTATGGGCTTCCAACTTAAAACCAATTGGTGATTAGTGGATTGGCCCTAACCCTTTATATATTATTTAATATCCCATTGAAATCCCGATGTGAGATATATATTCCTAATACCCCTCCTCGAGATGATAGCTCTTATCGGCCAAAAATATCACAACTGTTAATTTCGGGTTTATTATGGGCTTCCAACTTAAAAGAAATTGGTGATAAGTGGATTGGCCATAATCCTTTATATATTACTTAAGGTCCTACTGAATTTCTGATGTGGGATATATTATCCCTAATAATAATAGAATTTTCCCGAAGTAGTTAAGAGCATTTTTAATGGGGATTCTATCCCTTTAAAATTCTAAAATATATATGTGTATATATTATATATATATATATATATATATATATATGTATATAATTGTAGA